GATCGCAACACTCTGGACTCCACGTGCTAATAAGCTATTTACCGAACTTAGCGCATGTCTCATGGCAGCCCTGGAGGCGGCACCACTGTGCCACCCCATTTTCAGAGAGGTGAGGCCACTGCCCCAGATTACCCGACCGGTGGGGCTCCAGACCCACGGGTCCTAACTGGCCGGGCTGGCACTGACTTCCGGGTTGGGCTCCGGGGCCCGGCCACAAAAGTCCAGGGGGAGACGCCGGCACCCAGGTCGGCTTGGCTCACCGATGCTGACATGCTGGTACCCGTCGTAGACCAGCCACTGGTAGACCTCGTCGGCGATGCAGATCACGTCATGCTGCTGGCACAGGCTGGCCACCAGCTCCAATTCCGCCTTGGAGAACACCTGTGGGGACCGACCCCGAGCCGAGAGGTCTGCTCAGAGGGATGAGGAGGTACTGCCAACCCACGGCCAAGGGCCCTTCCACCCCATCTCATTGAATCCCGGCAACTCTCACCCCAGGAGGTCTGTTGCCAGATGACAGAAAATATACATACTGGTCTCTGCACCAGGTTCCTGGCTCAGCGCTCCTAAAACCCTCGTAAATCTCTCAGTAACAAGAGCGCCAGGAGCCTATCTTGTCCTAATATTTGATCTCGGACCCCCATCCGTCCCCGACACAGGGCTCCCGAAACCCTCCCCAATTCCCAAGTGATAAGAGCACTGGAGGTGTTTTTTGTTCTAATGAGGCGACACCCTGGGTAGGCATCGGGCAGGGGGGCGGGGGGCTCTGGGATGGGGCCAGTCACCAGAAAGATGCATGATTAGAAGCTTGGAATTTTCAGCCCCACCCGCATCCTGAAGGGTGAGCAGCCTTGTGGGACGGAGCCCTAACCTGCGGGACCTGATGCTCCAGCTGGTGTTGCAGAATTGCTGGGTGTGGGACTCCCCTCTCCCCCAGTCCAGGGTCAGAGTGTGGTAAGCACAGTGGTTGTGTGAGAGGAGAGACACCCAGTTGGAAGACTGGTTTCCTCTACATCGGTTCTGTCACGTTCCCATTTTACACGTGAGAAGACACTCCGAAAGGCGAGTTCACGGTCCCAGGGTCTCAGGGAGGTCATGGAGACACCCAGCCTGCCCCACTTCCCTGGGGATTCCTGCCTCTGTCCCTGGGACCTCGGTCCTCAGCTTACGTTACAGGTTGACCTCCCATCTCACAGATGAAGAAACTGAGGCGCCCGACACAGCAAAGACATGAACCCAGTCTGGAGGGGCCCCCGGAAGGAGTTCTCTCAGGTACCTTTCCCACAGGGTTGTTGGGTGTGTTGAGAATTAGGGCTTTGGTATGAGAGGTAAACTTGCTGGCCAGCTCTGTGGGGTCCAGCTGCCAGTTGCTGCTGGAATCCAGTTCCCCATCCCGAGTGGGGCCCTGTAAGAGGAGGTGGGGTGTGGTGGCAATAATTACCAACATGACATTCAGCTCCAGGGATCTGACCCTCCTTCCCACAGTCCTTTTTTCCTCGGGGACTCTGGATACGCCTCCTCCATCCTGGAGAAACTGGCCTCCTTTTCTTCCTTCTCTCCCACCTCCCAGGAGCCAACACAGCACACCCCTGGGACCCCTCCGCCTACCACACCCCAACCAGCGTCCTCACCGGCTTCAAGGTCACAAACACAGGATGACCCCCCGCCATCAACGTCATGGGTTCATAACAGTCAAAAAAGGGCTCAATGATGATGACCTAGCAAAAGGATCTGATTAGCTGGGGTCAGTATGGCCCCCGACCCTCATCCCCACCGGGCCCGAGCCTCGATCACTCACCTCGTCTCCTTCTTCCACCAGGGCCTGGAAGGCTGTGAACAGGGCCCCATAGGCACCCACAGTCACCAGCACGTTCTTGAGTGGGTCTATCTCCTGTCCCAGCAGATTCCCAAAGAAACTTGCCAGGATCTTTGTCAGGGGTGGGTAACCCTGCCAGGACAGCAGTGGTCAGCCCCCTGGCTCGGCCTGGGCCCACCCTCCCGCTCAGCTGCATCCAGGCGGTTCTAGCACTTTCTAGCAATAGTCCTGAGGCAATGTTGGCTCAAGTTGGGTGAATTCTTTTATCTCCCCTATCAGTGCTTGTCATCAAGCCTGTTCTGTGCGGTCCCAATGCCCAGGGCTGGCATTTGGTGGAGACCCAGACAGAGCGCGTGCCTTCGCGGAGCACAGTCCAACAGAGCCCCACAGTAGCGGCAACTCCACAATTTCAGTTTAAGAAGGACATTCGTGCCATCTGATCATCCCAGCAGCCTTGCAAGACATGATTCCCACCATTCGACTGGTAGAAAAACAGAGACTCAGAGACAGGAAATGACTTGCTCAAGGTCATGCACAGTTGAGGTGCAGGAACAGGCCTTTACATCACGGCTTTGGAAGCACCCTGCTTTGAGAGGAAGGTTGGATCCGTACGCTTGTTTGCTGAGGACACTTATAAAACACTCGAGGCTAAGCCAAGTGACTGAAACCCGCGGTCTAGAACTTAACTAAATAATCCACTAAACCAGATTCGACCACAGAAAATTTTCTGTACAGGAAAATATACCATGAGCAAAATTAAAAGACAAACATTGCAAGTTAAGAGAAGGAGGTAAGATGTTTAATATATAAAGAGCTCTTACAAAACAGCAAGACAAAGATCTATACCTAAACGAAAAAAATGAAGTAGGTCATGAAAGAAAAAGTGTTGATGCCCAATACACACATAATTGAGGAAAAGCAAATAAAAGCAACATTGAAAGATTGCTCTAATATTATAAGAATATAATATCAGTATTAAAAAGATTGGCAAGAGTATAGGACAAATGGGTGGTCTCTCTACAGAACGAACTTTCCTGCCAGGTCTGCGACCAGTTTGTTGGTGGGGATGTGAGTAAGCCTTTTTGGAAGGCAATCTGACAGTGTCTACCACATGTTTACATGCTTAGACCCTTTGATTCTCTAGTTTTACTGAGGGATCTAAGAGAAACACGCACACGGGTGTACAAAGATATACGTGCAGAAATATTCACTGTGCCATTGCTTATAATAGTGAGATATCCAAGCCAGCCCATCAGTGCAGGGCTTGTTAAATAAATTATAGCACAGCTAAGCAATGGAATACCATGTGGCCATTAAAAAGAATGAGGGGGGCGCCTGGGTGGCGCAGTCGGTTAAGCGTCCGAC